TCATTTATCGAGGTTTGGCAAGGTTGAAATTTTGAAAACCACAAACGTGAGCACATCACCAGCCCTTTAAGAACATGCATTTATGGACACCAAATGCTGACGAATGTCAAGCTGATTTAAGTAGGAGATGCAGAACCGAAGAGTTTTTTGTATTGGATTGGAAATGGCCTGCAGTCCTAAACCCGACCTCAAGTTCTATTACCATGTGGCCCTGCTTTAAAAAAAATAACTTGGCACTCCAGATCATATCGATGATTTATTTAAACGGCATTGATTTTTCTCTTCTCGGTTACACTACTGAATTCGACGATATAAGTTATAATTCAATATAAATTCTACCAATTTAATCTGAGTAATGAACAGATAAGTGGGAATAAACTTATTATTATTACAGGAACTTTTCACATCCTGCCTGAAAGAATGGGATGATGACAGCCACAAATTCTCAACAAAATCCCCAGCGGGGCTTTGAAATAAGACTGGCGAGCGGCGCAGCTACAGTACCAGTTCCTTGCAATTAGCAGCCGTTGCCGAGTTATGATGGAAAAAGTAAAAATTTTATGTCGCTCTGGATTTTCCCGGTAGTGAGTATAAAGTTGTTCGGATACAAGTATCAATACGCGTACTGAGAGCGCGGGGTAAAACCGGGGGGACCCCGAATTTTACTACAACTGCAATGAAAATTTTATTTTTATTTAGCTTTCATTTATGCGCCTAGTGATAAATTAATTATGTATCATGTTTTTGGTACACTCACAGTTCATTCTACGTAAAAAAAACAGAATTTTAATAAAAAATTAGAGAATTAGATATGAAGTGAATGCGATTTGTAAAAAATTGAAAGAGAGAAAAATGTCCTTATTTTGCAAACCCGATAAACGTAAAGGAATTATTAGTAGACAAATTCTCGAAACTGGAAATAAATTGAACGAGATAAAGATGTAAGTAAGGTTTGAAATTCGTGAACGGATATGGTGACTGCAAACATGTTTCATTTGTCACGCAGATATCACTCCTCGCTTCTAAACATGGTTTACCATGACGCTACATATCACTGTGGTGTTCCGTAACTTTCTCCTAATAATGACCACTTATAAAAATATAATCAAACAGTTTAGAAACCAGAATTCTTCCAACACTCTAATAAAAATTTACCGTATTAAAATTGTTACTGCCTGTTAAAAGTTGCAGAACACATTCACAAATGTCTTCAATTATGACGCACAAAAATAGCAATTCATTTCAAATTTTAAAGAGGGACACACGTCACTTTTCCTTTTTAACCACCTTCACATTCAGTACACGTGCATATGGAATAGATGAGAAAAATTTAAAAATTAAAACACAATATGACAAGTTTCAACCAAATTGAAGAGTATTTAGGAAGAGAGTTTGAGTTGAGTGTGTGAGTCACCGCTCATAGCGCTGTAATGAGCTAACACCTGCGCGCAGAAACGTTCGATTTCTCCCCACATCTGGCACTCCACTAGCGTTCAATATGCTCAACGAATCAGGGAAGACCACGAATTTACTTTCGTATGTGATGAGTCCACGTGTGATTTTTCGTCCAGGTTTACAACAAATTTAAATCCTAATTTCATTTTAATTCTTATGAAATTGAGCTAGAAGGTAGTGTTTGCAGAAGAAATAATTTTTTAATTTAAACTTCACGATTATGATATGGTTTTGACTAAAAATTAAAATCAATTCGTTTCATTTTAGCAAAATTCATGATTTATGCAACTCGTAACATAGATGCATTCAAGTTGCTGATTAGCATCGTAGTATATGTGGTACCGCCTGATTCAAGGATATTATTGACGTAGTTAAATTCCAACTGAAAATTCTTGATCTAAATTGAAAAGCAAAATTCACAAAATAAATTATTTCACCATCTTTGTTATTTAAAAATAATCGAGGAATGATTCATCATGATGAATTATTAGTTTCAAAGTGGTAAGACTAGGCGAAGGTGTTAGTTAGATCGCGGGGTTTCGGTCGAAATCAGGTGACATTTAAAAATAATAATCGACGTTCAATAATTACTCCTGAATTTGTTAGCATTAACGATGTTTATATTACACAAATTTTGATACCAAAGATTGTAAATAGAGTGATGACGGGATAAAAAAAAGTTTTTCATCGGTCTAAAGAAGATGAGCATTTTTAGGTTGATCTCTGAACGTAGAAAACTTCGACGTAAAGTCTGAACATTTTAATGTCTCACGAGATGTTAAGTGCAGAACTTGCCATGTTAAGGGGCCTTCAGAACTGGAGACGAGAACAGAATGGCTTTTTTATCAGACTCTAAGCTCAAATAGTCTCTCCAGACTGACTAGTTTTTTTACTCATTGCTGGATTGCCTGCCTAGTGCAAATTAATATGAATGATGATGCATTCTTAGCAGTCTCAATCAATTAGCAATAAGTAACCTCAACAGGATATTGTCTTCAGCCACCAACTTATTCAATGATCCAAAAAAATCTCTGTTTTCTACAATATTAGAATACGTTTCCAGTACTTCACTATGTTCATCAAACTTACTGTATACTAAAAACTGACCTCATTCAATGAAAGTTTTTGAATGCGATTCTTTAATAGAATTATTTGCGAATAAAAATCAATCACTCAGTACAGACCTAACTAAAATGAGAGTAATTTGAAGATCAATAAGGTATTATGTATGAAATATATTTCTAGAGTATAATAAAGTATAGAGCACGCCTCTATGCTCTCGTTGTTGTTCATCGTCGCGCTGTTGAATACTTGAACATTGCAGCATTAAATTATAATGTACCCAAGATATATTAATGTACTCAAGATACAGGTATAGGAGTACATTCTTTATTTATAACAAATATTAGTCCAAAAAAACAAACCAAAAGTGATCCACGTAAGTTTTTCCTGCTTTTTGTATCCGCGTTCGATAAAATGTCTTCCTGTAGGGTGCGAGTAAACAGACATTTATTTGCGGGCAGACTGACACAAATAAACATGACTTTCGAAAGACAAGATCTTCTTCGAGGCCTTGAAAAAGTATCAAGAAAATACGTTCAAGAGGCCACGTAAGAAAATGTTAGCTTTTCCACATGGGATTGCTGGGAATCCAGTATAAATTTAACTGGAAATTAATCAAAATTGATTAAATTTGAATAGAAAACTTGTAAAATACATTGACGTATTTAAGAGGTTAAAAAAGTGCAAATTGAAAATTAACTTATTCAACAGATAAGTTAATTCGAGATTCGAGCAAGCTTAAATACATATCATAATTTTTTGATAGATATAAGAGTACCAGCAGAAAATATTGAAATTAAAATCAATGAAAAAATGCGGGGAGATTATAATTTATATAAACCGACTCTGTTCCCTAAATTACTGCGGTAATCAGAATGAACGGAGGAAGTCACATTTCAGATAATAAGAATTTACAGGCAATAAAAAAATTAATGGAAAAGAGAGAGAATTGTAGTGCAAAAGCAAATACTCAGAACAAATGGAACGATTGCGTGAAAAATAACGAATATTTTATTCAATTTATTTAATTAAGGAAGCACAACACAAGCACCCAGCAACACGACAGGAAGCGAATGGCAACAAGAATTGTTCAGTAAAGTTCCCTTTAGTGTGATTTGGATAAATTCGTGGGAATTGCAATTCCAAGGACGAATTGTAGAAAATATCTTTGGAGAAAAACATAAGCGCATACATGTAGTGGAAATCCATGCTGAACAGTAATAGTGCATTGCAGAGTTGAATAACATTAGGGGAAAATAAATTCTTTATGTCGTGAACGGTTTCAAATCTTTTTAAGGATTGTATGGAAGTTAATGTCTACATGATGCAATAGAAAGCTAATTCGCAGGGTTTTTGCCTGCCTAGAAAAATTAGTAAAAAGAAAAAGACTGCAGCTGCGCAGCCTATAGATCGAGCTGTCAGTTGTATAAATTCTGATTCTATATTTATTTTTATTGCATTGTCTGTTACTTGTAAAACCTATTCAGTGTCATGACTGAATGATTGAGTCTGGATTAAATGCGTATAAAATTCTCAATTTGCGGATAATATCTTTTCGAGGACGAAAAATTCACGCTAAATCTAAACTAGAGATGTACTTACAGTGATATAACTTCTAAACTAGAGATGTACTTACAGTGATATAACTTCAATGATGAAGAAATGATGGTATTTTAACAAAAAGACTGGTCTGGATCAGCCTCAACACATCAAAGTCTCTACGATGAATATTTGACTAGCGAGTGAAGTCAACGCAACTCGACGACAGCTTCATGGATAATTGGCTTGATATTGAGAGTTAGAAAGTACCGATTCATTCATTGAATTTTCGTACTGGATATTGTACGTCGTCAGAATACATTGTTTAAATGAATAATTATTCTAAATACCAATATTGCATATTTTAACGTATTAAAATTATTTTGCAATGGTATGCAAATCAGAATGAAAAAGTTCGGTATCGGAAATATACTAATAACGGAGAATTGTACTAATAACCATCATGTAACAAATAACTGAAACGCTAATATGCCAAATTCGAAATATAAGCCTGATGCAATAGATAATAAATTAATGGGTAACATGCTCTATCCCACGAATGCTGGACTGATGCATGAGTAAGAGGAAGAGAGACGCGGTAGGTGCGGCGGAACAGTTCACAAGTGTAGTGGTGGAGGACAGCGAGAGAGAGAGAGAGCGTGCATTTGAACTTTGCTGGGCGCTAATGTCAAGATTTAGATTGAGAGTCTATTTAGATTTAGAAGTTTATTGCAATATCCTTTGTTTTCATGCTTATAATTTTTCAGGATTGTGCTTAAAGTGTTAATAAAGGGCAATATTCTTACTTTCCTTCCTTAAAACTCTTGCAGATCGTTGAAAGAGTCCTAGTGTGTGAAAGCATCTTTAGCGTTTATCTCTACCATTCTAGCAAATACGCCAATGCAGTTCAGATTTAAACCATAATTGAAAAACCATATCTTTTGATACTATTCTTCTAAACTTGCAGGTCGTTGATACAGAGTCTTGGTGTGTGCTAATTGTTTCATCAGACTAATCCTCGGTGATCGTGAATTCTCGGTTTCTACAACATCTTTACTTACAATTAATCAAATTGTCGGAAAATTAAATCCTTAAGGTGAGCTGGTAGATCTAGGCGATTTATATTTAAAAAATGAGCTCCTGAACGTATTTTTGTGTCGTAAAATGGATGAATAATTAATGATGATGCTAAATGGTTAAATTTCTACTGGATTGCCTTAACGCAAGTGATCTTTCATTTGAAAAGAAGTACAGGATATTGTGCATATAAATTCAAACCAGAGATCATGACGTAGGTAATAATGAACTTAATTTAAATGCTGGTCGCCATGATCCCCAAATTATTTATTTAGTTTACGGTATCTATCTAGATGAATAACTTAATATATGTAATAAATAGATTGAGCCTAATTTATTCACAGTATTTTATGTTGTTATTCAAAACTGGTAATAATGTGATAAAAATTGTATTTATTGCGAAGATTCATTACTTACTAAATTTGTTAGAATTCGCCTCAAAATAAATCATCGTCTTTTAATTTATATAGTTTATGTACAGACAATTTTAAATGATCTGTTTCATCACATGGTTTCATCAATTTTTAAAATTAAAAAATAATTAATTTTATTGTCAAACTCTTAACTTATGCTCTTATCTTGGCTATTTGAAGCCTAAAAAATTCTTTAAATTCTATTAATACTGTAAAAATATTCAACCTTATTTTAATGTAATTGTTAATTTTTTACCTAATTCCCTCATATTGTAAAAATATTCAACTTTATTATATTGTAATTTTTAACTTTTTGCTAATTTCCGCATATTGTGACGCGGAATTTAATTTTTTTCAGACGCAATTGCCACGTGAACAAATGGCGGCCTCAGGTGTACGTATCGTGGTGATGGTGATGGTGGTGGTGGCCCTGATGGTGCAAGCCCGAGTGGTAAGTGGTGATGGTTTGGGGTGAGTGGTTTGTGGTGAGTGATTTGGGGTTTGGTATTTGTTTACGGTGGTGTGGATTGAGTGGTTTGGTGTGAGTGGTTTAGAGTGTGTTGTTTGTGATGTATGGTTTACGAGGTGGTATGGACTAGGTAAGGTCAGGTATGTGGGGTGTGATGTATTGATGGCGATCAATATACGACGTACAGACTTCAGCACAACAATCATGATTGTGGTGACTGGTGGTGAATGTGACGTGCAGGTAGAATGATCGTGAACATTACATGTGTGGTGACATGGAATGACTATGGGCGATGTTATGAGAGTTGTGACTACAATTTAACATGAGTGTGGTGGTGATGAAGGTGATGATGGCATGGTAACTACGAACAACCATGTTGGTGTGGTGGTGATGATGGCATGGTAACTACGAACAACCATGTTGGTGTGGTGGTGATGATGGCATGGTATCTACGAACAACCATGTTGGTGTGGTGGTGATGATGGCATGGTATCTACGAACAACCATGTTGGTGTGGTGGTGATGATGGCATGGTAACTACGAACAACCATGTTGGTGTGGTGGTAATCTGTCTCTTATACACATCTAGATGTTCGTTTGTTCACATCAATGATTTTCGTTTGTTCACATCAATGATTTTCGTTTGTTCACATCAATGATTTTAGTTTGTTCATGTACAATAAGTGCGCATGACGAAGTCCACGTATCGAACTGTGAATCGTTAGTCAGAAGTCGGACTGAAACAAGTGTTCAGCTCACACAGCGTACACCTGTGGTCTCGTTCACCACACATTATCATGGAATATCTGGTCGATATTCTACGTTTCAGAAATGAACTTCATAAACGCCACGTCGATTTAGCTAGCAAATATTAACAAATATCATGAAACAAGTGAATAAGTTCTTTAGCTTACTTTTTTCAAGTTATATTATTTACAGTTAAAAAATTTTGTAACATTAATAATTGATTATTTATATTAATTGATCGTACGTTATTATTATTTATTTTATCAAATAATATTATTTGAACCACAAAAAGATTGACTCACGAAGATTTTTTTTACTATTCTTGTTTTCAGATTTCTCAACTCGGGTATGAGCGGATTCGAAGCCACGTGGAAATAGATATAAAATTTAATAGAAATTTTCTTTATAGAATAAGTGAACGAAGATAATTTGGGGTTTCTCCACCTAAAATTTTATATATATTTGATTAGATAATTCCGATGTGAAAGAATTCTAGGCCACGTGGAAGCGAATTTTTAAATAGAAGAGTAAATAATAGCTGAATATAAATTCTAATTCAACTCTTTATTTATTTTTTTATTTCTCATGATTTGATTCTTAAGAAGTGAGTCAATCACCTGTTAAGTTTTTAGAAAAAAGTTCCCGTATCGGGAATCGATTTTTGATGGAATTGTGGTGTCGTGATATACTGCGCTGAAACTTAAAATTTTTTAGATAGAATATTGATGTTCATCGAATCTTTTTCCGAGTTTCAGGTGAACATAAATTTCTTATCCTGAAACACAATAAGCATTTTTCCACAATCTGAATAAACTTTCAATCATGATTTTTTGTTTTGAAACAATTTCATTCTCATGCATGTGTTATGACTTCCCGGACTTTTTGCTTCCACAAATGGAGAGAGCTCAGTTTAAATTTGTGTTTTTTTGATGATTTTTTCTCGTTGATGGAAAAACTCTGAAAATTTTTGAAATGAGAAATAAAATTTGAATAAATTATTTTAAAATACCTCGAATATTTTCTCAAGAAAATTCTGAAATTGAATCAAGGAAAAAAAATTATATCTAAAATCTGTCGAGGATATGAATCTACAACTCCAATGTGCAGTGTCGCATAACTCTATAACAAAATCCAATATCAGTATATTTTTATCCTCAAATTTATATAAAATCAACCTGATATTATTTTTTCAGAAGAAATACGTGATCTATCATATACAAATTCAGGTAAAGACACAACATAACACTAACTGTTTTGTTCAATGTCACTTCCTATCTCGAGTACGATCGTTACAACTCCTAATCCAAGCAAGAAGAATTTTCATTAATCAGGCCGTGCTTTGACTCCTTATTTTTCAACGGTACCAGAGCTCTTTTTTTCCTCTCTTCCGCAATGAGGCAAACTTTGAACGCACCTCACCCCGGTCAGGGCACAGCAAAAGTTTGCAATTAGAGTGACCCGTACACGACATAGCACTCGGTCACTGTCTTCGATAAAATTCCGCACCAAAATACCAGTTTTTGCTTCCGAATTTCCACGAGCTACTCTAATTCTAACTATTAAATGAAACTTTTTAGATGGTAGGCAGCGTATAAATTTATTTTAATTTGGTTTCATTAATTGATTTTCAAATGGCAAGAGCAAATAAATTTATTTGACATTGTTTCCTTAATTTATCTTGTAAAATGCATTATGCAGACTATAACAAGACATTAAAATTGTACAATAACAGAAAAGAACGTGTTTTCATAGAATAAATGGAATAAGTTGAAATATTCTGCATATATAACTGCATGGAGTCACGTTTAAATGGAAAAATTGATTTGCTTCTTGATATGTAGTAACTTTTAAGGAACTCGTAATTTGCAGAAATACTGAAAGACTTATTTTTGCGAAATTTAAATCTATTGTAGGATTATCGAGTGGCCTGCACACTCTCGTACGACCAAAAATTAGTACGGCCAAATACTGATTAAGTGAACGGGACGATGAACACAAAATCATCGAAGACACAATGCGTGTATATTTGAAAATTAAATGAGATGAAAATCTACCACCGGCTAAAATAAAACTAATTACTTGAACCGGAAGATGAGAAAACAGGCTGACGTTATGTAATTAGCTTGACCTCTTGATTTTTTATCTCTTAAGGGTAATAAAACAAACAATGATTCAACGGGAATTAATTACCTTTGTGTGAAAATGTTTAAACTAATAATATTTTATTTTTGAAAATATTGACCCAAAATTGACATATTATTCATGTCATAATTAAGAAGTTAAATTTTATCAATCTAAGAAATAAACAGGCTACCAAATGCTAATCATTTCTGTAAATAAAACTATGTGTTCCAAAGGCCATATTTTATATAATAATTTTTTTACATGTCACAATAACTTCCACTATTAATAGTAACTTCCACAAAATTGTTATTTAAATTATTAAAACAGTTATACAACGCTTTAATTATCTAAAATCAAGTGTATTTATTGCAAGGTTGTGCATAACGGCTTACCTGGAGATTACAATATTTTAAATAGATAACGTATATATACTGAGTCTACTGAAATTCATTCGAAACAAACTATGAGTAACAACTTTTCGCTACTATATCATGCATTTGTATGCGCACGAGTTCAAATTTTCTTTCCAATTAATTCACTTCGAATAAAAGTTTATCTCACATTGCAACACCTTACGTACATTCAATAAATGAGGAACCCGTCTCCCGGCATATTAGTTTTGCAAATGCAAAGTAATTATCAATCGTATGTGATAATAGGAAACACGGGGAATGGCAAGCATAAGCCGGGATCAGTTGAAACGATTTTAACGAAGTTGTATTTAAGTATGTTAAATATTGAAGAGTAATAATCCTGAAAATGATTCAATTCCTCTTCCTCCACCGCTTCCAACAACACTTTATAGTTGGTCCCAGTTTCACAAACTTCACCACTTCCTTCAATTCTTTATAGTTGGTCCCACTTTCACCAACTCCGTCAGTTCCCACAGTTCTTTAATTAAGGTCGAAGTCAGTTTCACTGGCTCCACCGCTTCCTACAATTCTTTATGGTGAAGGTCACTCCCATCTTTGGACCTTTTACGCCACTCGGGGTCGAGTCGATCTGCGATTTTTTCAAAAAGTTCGTGACGTTTTGCCGTTTCGTCGTGAACTTGTGCATCAAAACCCAAAGGGTCGGCGAACTTTGACATCGCGTAGCTGATTCTTGTAAATTTATGTTTCCCATTAACCTTCTCGGGGAGTTCCTTATTTCCTCGGATGGCCTTCAGCATATCAGGGACGTGAGGATTATCGACCAGTTTTAATTTCGCCAAAAGTTTCGCCTCATCATAGTAGTCAGGGGCACTAGGGTCTTCTGAAGCCAAGTATAGTAAGTTCATCAAGCCATCGACGATCATTTCATGATCGCTAAGCTCGTAGCCTTCTTTCCGCGCTGATGCCAAGCTGAACTTTTTAACTCTCTGGAATATAGAAGAAAAATTCAGTTAAAAGTCGTGCTTCTGACCTTGTGCATTTGGCATGTACGTATAACAATTTTTTAAGGCATGGGACATATTACAGTGACTTTCGGACATTTTTTAATGTAGTTACGTTGTTATTTAATTTTCTCCTAGTGATTCGAGTAATAAAAAAGATTTGCGCCTCCATGGAGAATAACATTGTCACAGGATTTTGTTTATGAACAACATTCGGGTATATGAGAGTATAGCATATATTCTTTCAATGTGCCTAGGTTTAATCAACGATACAAAGTAAAGAGCAATGTAATTTATTGGTGTGAAAAGTGAGCCGAATCTGAGCTTTTTGTGTGTGTAATTTAAAAGAATGAGCGAAATTACGAAATGCTGAATCAGGAGCAATGTAACTTTCTACTTTTGAATGCGTGCCGTGTAAAACTTCAATGTTCGAGCTTCATTTACAGCAAGAATAACTCTTAAACTAAGTAATTCATTATGGATGTCCCAAATACAAAGTGAAAAAAATTTCTCAGAAATTTATACTGCCAGTTAACTGAAAAAATAACCTTGTACAACATATATTAACACATGTTCTGTAGAAGAGAGCACAAATTAATACACATACACAATTAAATACTAATATTAGATGGCAGGATTTCCACTCATTGATAAAAAAATCAACGAATTCTCTGGTCATCGATCGCACTTGTGTATACACAATTAGGTATACAAATAGCACGAATCCACATTAGTTGTAGGAATAAAAAAATACAATGAATCCAAGATTCACACAAACCCTAACACTTGAACAGGATCCTTGAACTATGCTGCACTTGCCCTGAAGGAAGAATCTCCTTACCTTCTTGTCCTTTATTTCTGCGGCTGCCATCGCAAGCAAGCAAAGGAGTAGAGCGATGTAACGTCCAGACATTATTTTACTCCCAGTACCGGGGCGAATATAAATTGTATATTCTGAGACAGTAAATTACTAATAATAAAGGCAGTAAAGATTTTCTTCCTAATATCCAGTTTCTGCTTTTAGCTATATATATAAAAATAAAGTTCAAGTTTATTTAGCTTCGTTTATTAATCATTGTTCGAATGAAAATGGCTACCGCAAATCTGAACATATAGAAAAATACTGTGAAGACTTTTTAAATGAATATTCCACTTATCCTAGGGCGAACAAATTTAATTTCAGATATCTTTCTCTAGTTAACTTTTCATAACATAACCTAAACTGAACCTAAACATGATGACTGAAGAGAAATTATATCGATATGTTTATTATGATTGACGTACAGTCATCGTTTTCTTTTCAATTAAATGCAAATGAATCGTTCAATCGTAGTTTGGAATTAATAAATGGGTTTATTTTATTTTCAAGTTTAATATCGATAGCAAAAGTTGGAGAGAAAACTAAATTACAAAATTATTCATTTTTAAACTTAACTAGCAGAGAAAAAAGGATACATATTTTAACGTTAATTAAGTTTGAACATTTTTTCATTTGGATTAGAATTGGAAATAATATAATAATTGACTGCACCGATTACAACAAAATATGCTGCAATAAAATGAAAGATTACATTGCACATCTAGTACACGTATGCTAGTGGCCATTTTGTGAGTCGGTTTAACGCTAATCGTGACGTCATTCATCTCTTCTGAACGCTGTTAACGTCAGCCAATCACAGGAGAGTGAACTGACACGGTGGCGTGTCCTTTTGATATTTCCCAATTACTCTTTAATTTACAGGCATTTATTGCATTTATTTGCAAATGTAAACAACTTTGATAACATATAAAATACGCAGATAATAAATAAAGAATAATTGTGGTAAATAAAAAACTCTATTGAAATTCGAACGCAAATAATTCAGAGCTAAATTCACAAGAATATAATATACAAGAAATATGATGAATGACATGAAATTTATTCAAAATAATTAGAACGGGAAATGATTGAATATTGAGTTAAGATTTGATGCTCATATATCAATGAATTAATTCACGTTACCAACATCACTTGTACATGTATAGGTAGATTTATTTCTGAGAACCAGAATATCCCAGTGCCCCCTACATTTTAATATCAATATCAATAAACTACAATAAACTAAACCATCTTATTTTGTCTTTGTACTCCAACCCGAAAATGAATAGATTTTTATTCATCAAAATTTTCACATCGGAGGAAAACTTTGCGGTGTCTTAACTGCTAAATTCGATTAATGTTGAACATGAACATTTGAAAAATGTAGAAGAGCTAATGAGATAGATGATAATATTTATAACTTATCAATGAAAAAAGAAACCAAAACCTCGTCATACTTCAAAACGGGTTATCTGTCATTTTGCTTCACAGGTTCCCACTTCGAGGGACAAAAACAGGATTGGAGGCATGAAAATAGAAGAACTGAAGGCCGCTGTGAAAAACTTTGGTGGAGAAGGCGTGCGGACCAACGGTGAAGAAGGTGAAGGCGATGGTGGAGAAGGCGTTTTTCCTGGAGAAATAGAAGTCAGGCGCAGGCAAGAAGGCGACCAGGGGGAAGGCGTCTTCCCGGGAGAAATTGTAGTCAGGCGCAAGCGGGAAGTCGATGATGGAGAAGGTGTTTTCCCGGGAGAAATTGTAGTCAGGCGCAAGCGAGAAGTCGATGATGGAGAAGGCGTTTTCCCTGGAGAAATTGTAGTCAGGCGCAAGCGGGAAGTCGATGATGGAGAAGGCGTTTTCCCTGGAGAAATTGTAGTCAGGCGCAAGCGGGAAGTCGATGATGGAGAAGGCGTTTTCCCTGGAGAAATTGTAGTCAGGCGCAAGCGAGGAGATGATGGAGAAGGCGTTTTCCCGGGAGAAATTGTGATCAGGACTTTGAAGAAGCATAACACTGAATAGCAACCGGGACTGTTAAGGAAAATGTGTTTTCCCGGATGAATGAACTTTGCGTAAAATAAAAGAATTCTAATTAGAATTAAGATGGCCAGTATTAAAGAAACAGGTCATTTAAATTAAACATATCCTAAAAATACCCTCCCCCAAAGAAAAATTAGATTGTTATCAGGAATATATGAACAAAATTTCATGTTTATTCTGTAAAGTGTTTCGGTATTTCTGTGTTGTTCATCTTTATGTTGAAATTTCATTCCCGAGTTTTGCACCCAAATTTCATCGTATACGAAAAGAAAAATTTCTAATGAAGCTCATTTTCTAAACGTTATTATCACGTTTTGTTCTATAATGAGTAAGCTGAAAATTTTCATTGCTATCCCAATTAAAATATTTATATTCTATTTATTTAGAGTTAAAATAATTGCTTTCACCTTTCGAGTGGTTGTGTTCACTTCATACTTATTTTTTAACGATCTTATTTTCCGTCAAAACCAACAATTAATAAAATAAAGGCTGGTAAACTTGGCTAGGCTTGAATGAATAATCTTAGATTATTGGATGGTATTTGTATTATTATATTCCCCGTGCATTAAAATTCCAATTGAAATCTAACACAATATCTCTAAATTGAGCGGATCTCTCAATGAATTTAACGTTACATCATATTTCAATTGTTATGCTACATTATATAAATACGTCCTGTACTCCCAAAACCTCGAATTTACATCTGCCGATTAAAATCTACGATTTCAGCCTAAGCCAAAGAATTTATTATGGTTTGCTTCCCAGAAAAGGTAATGTTGGAAAAAAATAAAGATTTGAGTGGCGCACAATTAGTTTCTTTGTGATGTTGATCCTTATCTTCCTTAATAGTGTAACTAAGATGACCGATGGGGAGTAAGAATTATTGAGGTTTTAATGCTTAAGTCGTTACACTAAAATTTAAGAAGCACGTTTTAGAAGGACTAATTAACCTAATCGGCGCTGGAGAAAGAATACATGTAGATTTTCTTAGCATACTTAAGATTTTATGGCAGGGAACATATGTACGTACGTCGCTGGTAGACTATCAGTAAGTATTGCCGTTATCATATGAGGGTACCTTCATACCTCAATTTCGAATCAATGTGTTACATTCCCAAGCTTTTTTATTGGAATGCTTTTTTGTCAATAAAACTAAACCGTCAAAGTGAAATAGATTTGGTTTTTGTTCTTAATTTTTTTTTAATTTCTAGTACTATAAAAGAGATCTCACGATTAATGCCAATATGCTGAGACAATGATAAAAATATACCTGACTTCTTTTTCATTCATACGCAATCGTCCTCGGTACTCCCTGCAAATTTGAATAAAATCCAATCGGCAATGAACGGATACATATACATATAAACTATTCGAGAAAACTTACAAACATTGTACGAAAACAATTGTACAATAGAATTCATAAAGAAATGGTGACAAGGATTTGAAAAGCTCGATGATTTATAGATTATTTATTATTACTTTCTCGCAAGAACTAAAGCACTAACAATTTATGTTAGAAATGGAATTACCTGCCTGTACGCCTGCGTTTGATAACAAAAATAAAGGAAGTCTCTCTCTGAGTTAAGCTCATTGAGTCTGTTTAGTGAGCAGTTTGCCAGCCCTCATAGCCCTGATGCTCAGAGTAAGCGCTGCTTTGGTCTCGTAACCACAAAGCATGTAGCCTGGCGGCAAAATGTTTTTGAGTTCGCTACTAATTGTTAATCAGAGGCTCAATTCAGTTTAATCATGACCCGTAACCGGACTAATGTGGCAGATTAGGCACAGCTGTGTTTGTGCTCCAGCCACACGAGTGCCACCGAATGAAGAACGTCGAAAAACACCGCGTAAAGCCCGCAGTTTGTTCCGTCATGCAGATGGACGTCTGAAATATATATGGAATAAGATAATAATGCTACGAAAATAGGATTAATTATTGCTTGAAAAAATACCGTTTGGGTAAATAATAAATTTATTTGCCGAGGGGAGGAGAGAGAAATGTTGAAAGGATTTCATGAAATGAGAAGAAGGACAAATGAGGAAGTTAGTTAAACATTCTAACAAATTTTGCAAGGTTGATTGATGTGCACAAATTTCTTTGTAGAATTAAAAGCAAGACGATTAATTTAGAGTTTTTTCACAAGATACAATTGAAGAAGAAAGAGGAAGGCATTCGGTGTACATTAATGAATAGTTCGCAAGAGGTTGACTACAATGGTTCATCGAGCGAACCTTAGTAAGGAACTGAAGTCATTCTTCATGGCAGGCTCGACAGGACTCAGGAGCAGGATACGAAATTATCTCTTAACTGCGACATCTGAAGAGATGATGAACTCGATTTGCCTTTTCGAAACGATTATATACTTGGGGAAGGATTCAAATGATTGTACGCATTTTTATTTCATAAATTCTGTGTATTTAGCTGAACCCTGTTGAATACTTGAAAAGTTGAAATGCTAAGGTTTGCAGCTTGGATATTGAAATTTACTAAATTATTCCGCAAGTTATTTTAGAGGAAGTCATTAAAATATTGGGAAATGACAAATGAGTTATATAGTAAATACTAGTTTGCTGCAGGTACAATGTGTGACTGTATCTCTATTACCGGAATTTATACAGGGCTATATATTTTTAAAAAGGTCAAAGTTGTCTTTTTTTTTCTAAATGTCATTCGTACCTCATATGCGCCTTTTTTAAAATGATTATTATTATTGTGTTGTCGGGAGGCTGAATGAGTTCATCTCTGGCCGGGGACATCAGAGTAATTTGTGAGGTTGTTTTTAATCCTGGATAAAGCGAGATTTAATCCTGGATAAAGAGAGATTGCTGCACATAGATAAATGTGTTGTGTTTATAATTCGAGGACGCTAATATTTTGTCGAGCACGTTTCCACTCATGGATTTAAATTGTAAAAATAACTGATGATTATAATTACTTGATCTATTTTGAAATTGGAATTTTCGAAACGAAATTTTGTAATTGAAGTGACTATTTATTTTGGTGATGATTTAATGGCATCTCATATTTTTTCTTTAGGTTTTTTGTCGAACTTTTCGAATTTTTCGAATGTGTCTCGTACGATTGAGTCAAGGCTTGGACATGGTGACCCACAAAAAGCAAACGGGTAATAAAAGTGCGTTCAGTTCTGGTTAAGCAGTTGATTCACCCCAATAGGTCATCATAACACACTTCAATTGCTGCATTAATCATTTTTCTAACATTTTTTCAATTCGAACGGCATTCAGCTCGTCATCAAAAAGTTTTCTGCAATATATCTCCACAAAGAAGTAGACTATCCAACAAACTGACCGAGAGTTCCTGACGTTTGAAAACATCTGTATCATTTATTAGCATTTGGAACAATGAAAGTAAAAGATTAATGAACATGAAAGGATTTTCTTTGAATGCGACGCTCTGTTCATTAGCCTTCATTCTGTGCGCCATTGATTCGTTAGTCGAGAATTGTGTAAAACTTGATTTATTCACTGCGAAAACTTTTATTGCTCCTATTTCTGCTTTCTGAATAGATAGTTTTTTATCAGATTTTTGGGTCGATTCCAGACTTAAATATTAATAAAATTTTAATTGAATTTGATTGAAATGTTCTTTTCTGTCTCCCTTTCTGCTTAATTTTGGTTTAAATTTTAGTATAGAATACTTTATTTCGAGCTGATTAAGAACTTGCAAAAGGCAGTGACAACCGAAAATCGAGGTGAAAAATATTACTAGTATGTTGGATATTTATCTCGCATTATAATTAATTGTAGCAAATTAAATAATCAAAAGCTTGATTTAATTTCTCTGCTGAACAATTGCTGAAAATTTACCATTTTCAACACCATTTTTTCGTATTATTCTCGATATTTGCTTGTTAATTCTTGATCTTAGTTTGAATTGAAAATAAAAATTTTGAAATGTTATCATTACAGCTCAATGGCTTGACTCCAACACCATTTACCCAGCCAACACGTCTTCCATGCTGTCGTCCAATATTTAGTAAAGGATCGAAGGGGAGGCAGCAGTGCCTGCTCATTAAGATAACCCTAATGAACTATTGTGTCGAGCAGCTGATGCCCAACCTACTTCTTATCAAATCCATTCGAATCCGGGCTAAAATGTTGGCTAGGAAAAATAATTAATTAGCTCTTCCGCCACCAAATGACTTTGATTTAATTCGAGGAAGCTAGCAGGATTCACTGCAGGTGAAGCTGTTGCATCTGCAATGCGACGCATGATAGAAACCAGGGGAGATTATATCATAAGTGATGAATTTTTAGGGCTTTGTTCTTATAAATTTAAGGATTAAATTGTAAATCTTTTCCCTTCAAACGCATTAATGAAAGTTACGGTATTTTTTCCGTTGTTTTTGTGTGAGTTTGAAATACTAATTCAGTCTTGTGTTTATTTATTGTCAGAATTTGTAAATTTCAGTAGTCATTAATATTCACCACTTGAATGAACATTCACTGCTCTTGTATTCGTTAATTAATTCGTTAATTAAGTGGTAGACTGAAAAAACTAACCTGAATAATTTCTTCCGCCAACCATTGCTTTATGAAATAAATTCAGACGTATACTTTTTCAGTTTCTTATCTTAATCATCTTTAGGATATTAAACTGTGATTCCACTGCACTAAGTTGGTTCAAAATATTACAATTTAGAGCTTTATAAATGCACTAAATGCATAGATTTTCTTATCCAAACTTGCTGTGTACAAAACGTAATTTGCTTCTAAAATATGATACATTAAAAAGAGCACAACGACGTTTGTTTTCCTTAAAAATGTATAGTTTCTAAAGAATGTATGTTAGTGAGGTGTACTAGTGAGGTGTACATTACCTCGCGTACAATAGTACATCTCATTGGAAGCCTTGCGTGTCCACGTGGGTCACATTTTCAACAAATTATGTTCACGTAACTATACTCTTACATTTCAGTTATAGTTTTACGCAACTATACTCTTACATTTCAGTTATAGTTTTACGTATAACTATACTTTTGCATTTCAGTTATAGTTTTACGTGAAAAGTGGGCCTCCTCATATAACGATATACCTATAGTTACACCACTTAAATTAGCAATTATGAAGCAATTAACAATTAGATGTATAGTCAGACCACTTGAATGTTATAAAATGTCTACACAAATGTCACCCTTAAGGTAATTTTTTGTCCGTATATTATATATCTCGTCTAAATTGACACAAATAACACAAGGCCTTGCCCGCCACTCTCAAGTCCCACGCAATCACGCTGCTTGCCTCTTAAAAAGTGCCTCAAGAGGTCGTTTTTTGTCCAGGCCTTGCAGGGGAGATAAGAAGCCATTGCCGTGCACCTTTCACCTTTGCATTTTTTCTAGAATTACTTGCATCTTTACGATTATTTTTGGTCAATTAATAACAAACATAATCAGGATTACTTTCAGAATTGGCATTTAATATTTAGAATTAATGTTACATAGAGAGCATCATGTAGCATCTAGTTCCAGATTATATGCTTTATTCTTAATATATATTATATTGATTTATTAGCGAATTTTCAAGCATCGCTGTCTATTTGCCATTGATTAATCTATGTCGAATAAAATGTGAAATCTTTAAAATTTCGCGTATTTGAGCGATATTTAATGAAGATTTCCTGCTATCTTAATATTTCTTTCATAGTGCTGATGCAAGTGACATGGTGCGGAAAAAGATATCAGTGCTTCACAAATTTTACTTATTCACTTAATATGTTTATTCCCATTATAGCACGGAACTTGACGGAACTGAACTGAATAAAGGCAATTAAAATTTAGCGACACTG